AAAATTGTCTAGACCTTGATTTCACCGTCAAGGTCACTTTCAAGGACACTAGAGAGAAGCCAGGTCCAAAGTCAAAGTTGTTGCCGTGAGGTTATTATTTTTTATTTATTTCATTGCAATTCTTAAAATTTTCTCAAAATAAGAACCATGACCTAGACCTTTATCCCTGTTCCAGAAAATTGTTTTGTTCTTGACTTAACCGGTCAGTTCACAGTCAGTGTTAGTTTCCAGCTCGCCAATGAATAACGAAGGAGGAGTCTCTTATCATTTTTATGTCTTTATTCCTTTTCCATGGAGAACATCTCTAAAATCTTTTAGAATGACCTTGATCAGGACGTTCAAGGTCAAACTAATGTTGACCCAAGGTCATGTGTGAACGTAACATTTTCCGCTATATTGGTTTTTGGAGGCAAAAGCATAGGGTCCAAAAAAAACTCTTGACCTTGAATTGAGCTTGAGGATCATAGCAAAGGTCAGTTTCAAGGTCAGTAGAGGTAAGCCAGGAAAGAAGTCCAAGTCAGTTGCCTTGAGGTTCTTATTTTGATTACTTTCCAAGAAGATCCTTGGATCTTTTCAAACGAAGGCTTTTTTCACGGCGACCATGACCAGGGACCTTTAGGTCAAAATTAATTTTCACGTAAGATCATATTTGAACGACTATTTTTAGATGTATCAGTTTCTGGGTTAAAGGTATTAGGTACCATGCAAAAAATGTCTGGATTTTAAATTGACCGTCAAGGTCATGATAAAGGTCAGTTTCAAGGTCACTAGAGGGAACGCAGGGGAAAACGTTAAAGTCTGTGACCTTCTTTTTGCTTTATTTTCGGAAAGAAGAAAATCTCATCGATAGAAGTTTTTTTCACGGTGACCATGACAAAGACCCTCAAGGTCAAAATAATGTTTACCAAGGTCACCTGTGAACGTAATATTTTCCGCTATATTGGTTTTTGGAGGCAAAAGCATAGGGTCCCAAAAAACCTCTTGACCTTGAATTGAGCTTGAGGATCATAGCAAAGGTCAGTTTCAAGGTCAGTAGAGGTATGCCAGGAAAGAAGTCCAAGTCAGTTGCCTTGAGGTTTTATTATTGATTTACTTTCCAAGAGATCCTTGGATCTTTCCAAATGAAGGCTATTTTCACGGCGACCATGACCAGGACCTTTAAGGTTAAAATAATTTTCACTTGAGATCATATTTGATATTTTTAGATGTATCAGTTTCTGGGGTTAAAGGTATTAGGTACCATGCAAAAAATGTCTATATCTTGAATTGACCGACAAGGACATGATAAAGGTCAGTTTCAAGGTCACTAGAGGGAATGCAGGGGAAAAAGTTGCTTATTTTCGGAAAGAAGAAAATCTAATCGATAGAAGTTTTTTCACAGTGACCATGACAAAGACCCTCAAGGTCAAAATAATGTTTACCCAAGGTCACCTGTGAACGTAATTTTTTCCGCTATATTGGTTTCGGAAGGAAAAAGCATAGGGCCCTAAAATGTTTCGACCTTGATTTGACTTTCAAGGTCATAAAAAGCTCAGTTCCGAGGTCATTAGATGGAAGCCAAGGCATAAGTCCAAGTCTGTTGAATTGAGGTTCTTATTTTCGATTCATTTTCAGAGAGATCCTTAAAATCTTCTCAAACGAGGTTTTTTTCATGGCGACCAAGACTAAGACCTTTAAAGTTAAAACAATTTTCACGTAACATCATATTTGAACGATAATTTTTCGCTTTATCAGTTCTTAGGTCAAGGTTATAAGGTACCATGCAAAAAATTGTCTAGACTTTCAGTTGAACGTCAAGGTTATGATAAAGGTCAGTTTCAAGGTCACTAGAGGGGAGTGATCGAAAAAATTAAACTCTGTCGCCTTGAGATCATATTTGAATGACTATTTTTGGATGTATCAGTTTCTGTGGTAAAAGGTATTAGGTGCCATGCAAAAAATGTCTAGATCTTAAATTGATCGTCAAGGTCATGACAAAGGTCAGTTTCAGGGTCACTAGAGGGAACGCAGGGGAAAAAGTTCAAGTCTGTGGCCTTCTCTTTGTTTTATTTTCGTAAAGAAGAAAATCTCATCGATAGAAGTTTTTTTCACAGTGACCATGACAAGACCCTCAAGGTCAAAATAATGTTTACCCAAGGTCACCTGTGAACGTAATATTGACCGCTATATTGGTTTCGGAAGGTAAAAGCATAGGGCCCTAAAAATGTTTCGACCTTGATTTGACTTTCAAGGTCATAAAAAGCTCAGTTCCGAGGTCATTAGACGGAAGCCAAGGAATAAGTCCAAGTCTGTTGCCTTGAGGTACTTATTTTCGATTTATTTTCACAGAAATCCTTAAAATCTTCTCAAACGAAGGTTTTTTTTTATGGCGACCAAGACTAAGACCTTTAAAGTTAAAACAATTTTCACGTAACATCATATTTGAACGATAATTTTTCGCTTTATCAGTTTCTTAGGTCAAGGTTATAAGGTACCATGCAAAAAATTGTCTACACTTTCAGTTGACCGTCAAGGTTATGATAAAGGTCAGTTTCAAGGTCACTAGAGGGGAGTGATCGAAAAAATTAAACACTGTCGCCTTGAGATCATATTTGAACGACTATTTTTGGATGTATCAGTTTCTGTGGTAAAAGGTATTAGGTACCATGCAAAAAAGATCTTAAATTGATCGTCAAGGTCATGACAAAGGTCAGTTTCAGGGTCACTAGAGGGAACGCAGGGGAAAAAGTTCAAGTCTGTGGCCTTCTTTTTGTTTTATTTTCGTAAAGAAGAAAATCTCATCGATAGAAGTTTTTTTCACAGTGACCATGACAAAGACCCTCAAGGTCAAAATAATGTTTACCAAGGTCACCTGTGAACGTAATATTTTCCGCTATATTGGTTTCGGAAGGTGAAAGCATAGGGCCCTAAAAATGTTTCGACCTTGATTTGACTTTCAAGGTCATAAAAAGGTCAGTTCCGAGGTCATTAGGCCTTGAGGTAATTATTTTTGATTTATTTTCAGAGAGATTCTTGAAATCTTCTCAGACGAAGGTTTTTTTTCATGGCGACCAAGACTAAGACATTTAAGGTCAAAACAATTTTCACGCAAGATCATATTTGAACGATAATTTTGCGCTTTATCAGTTTCTTAGGCCAAGGGTATAAGGTGCCGTGCAAAAAATTGTCTAGACTTTGAATTGACCGTCAAGGTTATGATGAAGGTGAGTTTCAAGGTCACTAGAGGGGAGCGATCGAAAACATTCTAGTCTGACATCTGAGACTCTTATTTTCGATTTATTTTAAAAAAATCCTTAAAATTTTTCAAATGGAGGTTTCTGCATGGCGCCTATGGCCAAGACCGTTAAGGTCAACATAATTTTCACACAAGATCATCGTTGGACGACAATTTCCTGCCCTATCAGGTTCCGGAGTCAAAAGTATAGAATACTAAAAAATTGTATTGACTTTGATTTGACTGTCTAGTATCTAGTTTAAAGTGAAGGTCAGTTTCCAGCTCACCAGTAAAAAACCAGGGCAGAATTGAATTCTCTATCGTCTTCAAGTCTTTATTCCTTTTTTATTAAAGACGGCTTTATCGGGACATTGAAGGTCAAAATAATTCCAGGGTTACGCGTGAACGTAATGTTTTGCGCTCTATACATCGGCGGAGTCAGAAGAGTAGGGTTCCATTAAAAAAATCACATTGACCTTGATTTGATCTTCAAGGTCATGATCAAGGTTACACTTAAGGTCAGCACTGAATGGCCAGGGAAAATACCTTAATCCCTACACTTTCACTGTAATACCTTGCCGTTTTGGATCACCATTTATGAAACTATTTATTCAACAATGAATAAAATTTTCAAGGACTTTATGCAACAGATGTATGTCCTCTCCTCTAACTTCCTCTTATTCTCATTCCTTAACAATGTCTGCTTCATTTGACACAAGGACAAAAGCCTTGCTCCTATGGACGGCTTTAACTAACGATGACTTGATATGATTGGTTAAAGACAAGTTGAATGTTATGGTTGGAATAATTTGACAAAAACTTGTAGGTTTCAAACATGTTTCGCTGTCCCACCAAGTCATCCCCATGGTACGACTGGTGCCAAGAGCTTACACATCTTGCGCGGATGCCTATCTCACCCCTCACGTGAAGAGATACGCGGACGGGTTTTCGTCAGCTTTCAAGAATAACCTTCAAGGGACCAGAGTTCTCTTTATGCAGAGCGATGGTGGTCTAACGCCGATGGAGAATTTCAATGGCGCCAGAGCTGTTCTTTCCGGACCAGCTGGGGGGGTAAGTACACCGCCAGAATTTCCAAAGGCCGTGAAGATCAATATGTTATAACTACAGTATATTCAGATAAGAGATAGACCGGACATAAACAAGACCACGTGATCATCGAACGCTGTAACATTCAGCAGGGACGTATTAAGAGTCACGCAGTACATATTTTAGATAGTAGATGCTGCTTTGCGTAACTTTGTAGTAAATTAGCACAATTCGATGTGTATACGATTGGTGATGGATATAGGATCATGTGGGGGTGGGGTAAGAAATATATAGTGATGTAAATATACATTTTTCAAAATTTTCGCTTCGATTTCCAGCTTCGGATGCCGCCTGATGTTTGGTGAAATACAGTCGAATATAATCTCAAAATGGCGTTTAAATTAGCCTAAATTAAAAATAATCGTATATCTCTTAAAATTGCTTTTAGAATATTGATTAGTATATTTTTTGATTTCTAGGTAAATATGTAACCAAATTAAAACGTTCAAAACGTAAAAAATGTGCATGGTTGAACATTGTCAGAAAGTAGATTCTTGAATAGGTTTTGCCAAAATGGGTTCAAAAATGTCAATAATTAATTAAAAAATACAGTAGCTTTATAATTACTTATAACTTACCGAATTTGATGAACGACATCTTTTATTGGAAAGATGAGCTTGATGAGCTTTCATCATCGCTACTGCCTGAAGCACCAACGTCAATAATGAATGGCTCGACTTGTTCCTCTAAAATATTGTCCAGTTCCCACATGCTCTTTTCAACTTTGTCTTTCACGTGCTTAATACAGTTTTCCCATTTTTGCGCTGTTATTAATTCTAGTGCTTCTTTGAAAGTCCTTTGAGGTCACAAAATTTAAAAGTTGTATCGTGCTTAGCTATATAATTTTTAACCTCTGCCCATATGAGCTCAATGGGATTGAGCTCGCAATGGTATGGAGGTAAACGGAGCACAGTTTTATTTTGACTTGCTGCCATTTCGTCAATGGCGTATTTTTGATATTCCGCCTTGTGATCCTTGACAATTCTTAATAATTGTACTTTCAGCATTGCTTCTTCAAAGTTGATATTTTCGAGCGGAGCCAATTTTGAACATCAACTTTCCTTGAAGCCGTTTTCTTCGAGAATGATAAGGCGCATTATCCAACACAATTACTGCGTTTTCCTCTAAGTTCGGTAAATTTTTTGAAAACCAGTGTTCAAACGATTCGCCATTCATTTCCTCGTGGTAATCTCCAGTTTTCTTAGACTTAAAGCACCACAGACCGTCAACAACAAATCCATCCTCACTGCCAACATGGCAGATAATGAGCCTTTTCCCTTTACCTGGAATCGAAGTACTAACTGGTTTAGATTTATTTCAATAAGCGAACCTTTTTCAAATGTTTTCATCACATTCAGCGAAAAAACATTGAGACATGAGTATCAGATTGCTATAATTGGGATTATTTAGTCATATTGAAAGAAAGAATATTGAACGTCGTATGATTACTCAGCGCTTCACAATTTAATTTAAAGTTATAAACCTTTAAAAATGAATGATCAGGAACCTGAAATACGCGCAAATATTAATATTAACAAGTTATAACTTTATAAAGCTTAAAGTATGAATTAAAATGATTAGAAATATTAGGAACGGTACACAATATAAAACTTAGTAACTTTTTTTAAGTTTATAATATTCGACATATTTTAAGATATATTAAAAAATTATTGAAATATCGAAAGCACATAAAAACATGGCTTAAAAAAGTTCTAACAAATGAAAATGACAATAAAACATCCACGCATTTTATCGAAAGTTATAAAAGTTTTGTTACTTGTAATATGTTTTATCTGCCCCCTGGAAATAATGTTTAGAACCTTGTTCCCAAGGTTTGAAAAACATCCGATTGTTGTCTATTACTCGTATTTACCTGCTGGATTTTTTAATCCGGTGGACAGTCCATCTAGAAAGGCCCTCCTGGATGAAGTTACAGAATCATCAACCCATACTTTACTTGTAGTGTGTCCTGCGTTTACAAGGTAATAAATCTTCCTGTTTTGATTTCTATATTTCCCAATTTTTGTTAAATAATCCCTCCTCCGTAGCACAATTTCTTCTCTATCCAGTAGTAAACTATTACGACCCCGTTTTTTCCATTTGAAATTTAAATGCTTCAGTAACGCATGCAGTAATTTATCTATAGTAGGTATTTCATTCCTAAAGAAGAATTCATGCACTTTCCTCCTAATCGCATGCTTATCAGCTTCATCCAATGATTTAACAATACTTTTGCGATGTTTACTGGTCATTGGCTCAGAAAAAGTGTGATTTTTTTTGTATTGTCTTAACACATTAAACACTGATGCGCGACACACCCCAACTTTGTGAGAAACCTTCACAACAATTTCTTTGATGGTGATGCCTCGTTCTCCTCGCGCTCGATCTTATATATATTCAAAATGACCTCTTTCATTTCTGCACTCAGGTGTCTTTTTTTGAGCGTTTCCTAGGTGGACTACAGGAGTTTACAACTTCATCGGCAGTATCTGTACTACTGGGCATTTTGCGCAAGCAGTTGATAACAATAACAATCAATAACAAGGTATAACAATAACAACGACAAACTCAACAACTTAATAAGATAACAAACGAAAACGTCCAAAGAAATATCAAATTGCAATGATGCACACGACATACGTAACACGTCTGAACCTGAATGTGACTCTGCCTTGATACGACTGCTCTGCCGCTCGGCATAGGCATTTAATTGCGAATTGACCAATGAGGGCTCCTGTTTTACGTCGAGACGGCGGCGTTAGCGTGAAAATCACCCGAACCTTTTGTTTACATCCGGTCTATCTCTTATCTGAATATACTGGAATATTTTTTACAGTAAATAAGACCAAGAGATGTTTTATTGTTGTTCCTGTCATTTTCTTGCATCTGCCGGGAAAGGGGTATTGCATTACTTGAGATGTATGCAAAGCTAGAAATTAGTTGCGCATCCATTTATTTACCCTAGAAATTACATACAGGGTGTTCATCTGAAAACCTCCCACCACAGACTTATCGATAACCACTGATTCAAAGGACATATTTCTGATTCATCGCACTTTGAGAATCGTTGCATTTAAAATAGTACTGGTTGAAATTTTCTGTTAGGTAGTAGGGTATGCAGTGACAACATGGCAAAAAGAAACTGACCTCCCGGTGATCGGCTTTGACATGGGCGGCACCTCCACGGATGTTTCAAGGTTTGCCGGTAATTATGAACATGTTTATGAGAGCACTACCGCTGGGGTGATTATCCAGGCGCCACAATTGGACGTCAATACAGTAGCTGCTGGTGGAGGATCTATGCTTTTTTTCAGGTAAAGTTTGACTGTGCAAAACTGGATAGCTGTTGCTGCAAATGCAGTGCTATATAAAATATATAACTGACATTTTCGTTCTACGTGCGAAAATACTACTATTGAAATATTGAATGTTTTTTGCAATCAGGAATCTGTGTGGTCATTTCATTAACAATCGTTATCATTCAAGCATTCATCAATTTTTTTTTTAATTTTTAGGCTTTTTGTGAAATTGACGAAATAAGCACATTTTGGGCGTATGGGGCCGTTCAAGTATTACGTGAGCACTATGGGGGGCGGGGGGAGTCTTTGCTTTGCTTATTTTGGATGACATGGGGGGTAGGGGAGTCTAGATAATGATTACAACATCGGTAGTTATTTACTTTTTACACGAATGGCAACCCTCACACTGTCTTTGCTTGAAAACGATACGGGGATTCCCGCAAATAATGCATACGTTTAGTGAACAGCGTGCGGTAATTCCCCTACTCGCTTTAGAAGAAGTTTTAAAAAATCCCATACAAGTACGAAAGTACAAAATGTACAAAAGTTAGTTAACGAAGTGTGGCGAAATTACAAATTACAAGCAAAATCCGACAAGAAACTAGATATTATTGTATCTAAGAGAATCGAAGAAGAATTGCAAGCGGCGACTAAGAATAAATCCAATCTACAAAATTTTTTTCTAAGGTGTGTGACGAAATCATTTTTATAAGTACTAGAAATATTAGATATTGCCAAAAAGTTTTTCTTTACTGATTAGAAAATATTATGGCCTATCTCAAAGTATAGAGGTAATATTCATTATATAATAGATTTATTTCTTATGATTGATTCCGTCAATTGGTCACAAAGTACAGGATGTTAGTTTTATACATATACAGGGTTATCCAAATTAAGTGTCCACCATTAGTAACTTTGTTATTAGTGAAAATACAAAGTTGTTTGAATTAGCAAACTAGTAGCATTTTTAACGCTGGTAAAAATGAGAAATAAAAAAAAACAATTGAGAGTCGTTATTTTGATTTTTTTCAGTAAAATAACATTTTTTTAAATGGAAACCCCTGTATATTATATTTTTTCTGTTAAAGCATCAAATTTTAAACAAAAAAGTTCATAATGACTTTTCCGCTAAAGTCAAAAATAAAGTCAAAATAATGATAAATATTTTTAATTATTTGCAGTATTATAATATTAAGACGGCTATGAAAACAACATGGCGTTCGCGATTTGACAGCATTAAGATAAGCGACAAATTGTTAAACTGGACATACTCGCAACTAGAAGGCTTTGGAAAACAATGATAAAATCAAATAATGTCAAACATTAGTGTAAATACTTGTTTACAAGCTTTATTGTGTCATTAATTTAAAGAAAAATATTCTCCCATGAAGAAAAGTGTGCTATGTTAGAATGCTATTTAGTGTGCAGAAAATCCTCCTTGAGAGCAAGAGACAGTGAATTATATCCCGCTCGCATTCAACCGTATGAACGATATTTTCTGAGACTTTATCGAAAATTTAGGGGCAACGAAAATGTTTTTGCTAAAACAAGGGCAAAAAAAGAATTCATAATAAGCGAGGCCACGGAAATTGCAGTTATTGGATATTTAGAAGCTTATCGTGAGAATTCAATAGCAGATATTCTCAAGGACTCTAATTTCAGTTATGGTACTGTTCAAAGGATTTTAAAAAAATACAAATTTATTCCGTATAAGTACCGACCAGTTCAAACGCTTTTGGCAGGGGATCCAGAGAGAAGACTTGTTTTTTGCCATTGGTATCTTAGCTTCTGTCGCCAAAATGTAAATAACTTTCGTTACCTTTTATGGACAGATGAATCAAATTTTTCAAATTCTGGAATGTTTAATAGAAAAAACCACCATTATTGGTCAAGAGAAAATATTTTGTTAGTACATCCAAGAGGCCCACAAGTCCGTTTCAGTTTCAACGTTTGGTGCGGTATAATTGGTTCAAAAATTGTTGGCCCGTTCTTTTATGAGGGAACCCTAACTGGTGAAAGATATGTGGAATTTATGTCAGAAATTCTGACTAATTTCTTAGACGAATTGGATCTTATAAGTAGACATCATCTGCATTTTCAGCAAGATGGCGCACCTGCCCACAACTCCAGAGGTACTTATCATTTTCTAAGTACTACTTTTAATGATCAGTGGATAGGAACAAATGGCCCAATACAGTGGCCTCCCAGATCACCAGATCTAAACCCACTTGATTACTTCTTGTGGGGTTACTTAAAGAACCAAATTTACAAGCGAAGGTACGATAACCTTGACGCGTTAAAGACTGCAGTTAGGGAAAAGATAACCCAGATAGATGGTAGGACCATACTTAAGACAGTTCGAGCAGTTGAAAAACGTGCCCAAAAATGTATTGAAGAACAAGGTGGTGTTTTCGAGCATCTTCTTTAAAAAAAATTGTTATTGTATTTTGTAAGATTATAAGTTGATGTTGAAAATAAAGTTTGTCGATACAATTTAATTGTTTCAGATTGGAGGCCATAACTTCAACAATTTGTAACCTAGGAGAAAAGTTATTGTAAGCTTTTTTGTTTAAAATTTGATGCTTTAACAGAAAAAATATAATATACAGGGGTTTCCATTTAAAAAAATGTTATTTTACTGAAAAAAATCAAAATAACGACTCTCAATTGTTTTTTTTTATTTCTCATTTTACCAGCGTTAAAAATGCTACTAGTTTGCTAATTCAAACAACTTTGTATTTTCACTAATAACAAAGTTACTAATGGTGGACACTTAATTTGGATAACCCTGTATATACAGAAAACTAACACCCTGTATTTTGTGACCGGAACGAATTGCTCGTTTAAACATATTAGATTTAAAGCCATAGGGTTTTGTATTTACCATATATATTGCCATACTTTGTATTTATGTAGCTTAATAAGAGAATCTTTAGCAGAAGCCATAGAGAGTTTTTAGTTTTAGGCAACCTGTAAACCTACAGAAAAAACACAAATTATACAGTCAGCTTCAAATATTAAAAAAGAGGAAGAAGATAAAGTAAAACCCGGTAATGAATCACAACAGCAATGCGAAATTAATGAAAATACAGATAAACAGAGAGCAAAACCTTCTCAGGAAGCTATGAAAAATAAGATTGCTCTACTCGAAAAAAATCTGACTGCTTTGTATTCTGTCAGAGATACTATGCCAAGCCGTGCTGAAGTTGATAAACAAATCATTAAGTTGCGCGAGGAAATAAAAACAGCAAAACAGTCTTTAGACAGGAAATTTCAAAACGCAGTTGCCCAGAAGAAACACAGGGATGGTATGAAAAGAAAGTTAGAAGATATTTGTCATGAAAATCCAGAAATAAAAAAAAGACTATCTCTGAGGAATTCAGTGGGACGTCCTAATCTTGAAAGCAATCAACATTCACTATTGAAAACAATCGCAGATATAGCTTTATTTGGGAGTGCAGCAGATGATAGAAGACGTACGGAATCAATTCGCAGCGTAAAAACTCTTGATGAACTCACACAAGAACTACGTAAAATAGGATTTGGCATTAGTCGCAGTGGGACATATCTTCGTTTGATTCCCAGAAAATCTAATTCTGCAGAGGAAAGAAGACATGTGTCGACAGTCCCTGTTAAGCTCATACGGGCTCAAACTGATCACCACAAGAGCCACTTAGATAACAAGTTCGCTGAAACATCAATCCATTATTTAGAGAACATAGCATCCATATACTTGGACCAGATCAAATATTTTTCATATCTCAAGATGATAAAGCTCGAGTCCCTACTGGCGTAACTGCGGCAAATAAGCAAGCACCTCTTCTAATGCACATGGAATATAGAATCAAATTGCCTGATCACGATTGGGTGATCGCTGAGTGTCATAAATTAATACCATCTGTTTATGCTAGTATCAAAATCACTTCCAATATGCTAGGACAACCGCAAGCCGTTGGATATTCTGGACCAACATACATCGCTATTCGAAGTGGAAAGCATAGTTCATCTACTGCTAATACTCATGCTCAGGATTTCGAGACGCTTCTCGAACTTGAAGAGTTTCGACCATTAGCTAAAACTGACCATGGACTAGTAAAACCAGTGGTAATCATGACGGTTGATGGAGGGCCAGATGAAAATCCACGTTATCAAAAAGTCATAGGGTTTGCTATACAACACATTAAGCGATATGATCTCGATGCATTGTTTTTAGCTACCGATGCTCCTGGAAGAAGTGCGTATAACAGAGTAGAGCGCAAAATGGCTCCTCTTAGCCGGGAACTGGCTGGTTTAATATTGCCTCATGACCATTTTGGGTCTCATTTGGATGAACGTGGCGTTACCATTGATGAACATTTAGAAAGATCTAATTTCGAATTGGCAGGAAACGTATTAGCTGAAGTATGGAGTTCAATGGAAATTGATGGCCATAATGTTAATGCAAAATATGTTGGGGCAGGTGAACAAGATCTTCCTCATTTTCCAGACATAAATGGTATTCAGAACATGTGCGTGAGAGCCAATACTTGCTTCAAATTGTAAATGTAGAAATACAGAATGCTGTCGTCCAAGACGTGGCCTATTTAGATCACTAGACAATAGGTTTCTTCCACCACCTGTAAAAGTAAAACAAACAGTTGATGACTTGGTTTGGATGAAGGAGGGCAATTCCTTAATCTTCAAGTCAATTTCGCTCTACGCTTAAGTGCTTCACTCCGTCAAGTCACTAAGTCGTCACATCGAAAATATCCATAAAAAAGTAAACACGCACACTGATAGGAAGTTAGACCTGTAAGAGTCGTTACTCGTCGTTCTAATGAAGTGATGTGCACTATTCAAAATTTAGAGCACCATGATGTTGAATGGCTCGATGAGAATGATGTAGACATTCCAAAATCCGATGAAAGCGAGCAAACTCACAACACTGAGCAGCAATCGAAGCAATCCAATGTCATCGAAAACTTCATGGACTGAAGACTGTTAATTTGAATTTAATATGTGTACCAAAAATTTAAAATA